ATATCGTCATATCAGTTAAAAACGTATGTCACTGTTTAAAGGACTCTATCTAGCTTAACCTTATGCAAAAACAGAATCAAATCTCTGAAGTACATTGGGTTTGATGCATTAAAGAGTTCTTTCAGATTATTTACCTCATTGAAGAAGCAATAGAAAACGAAGAGAAGAGAAGGTGTATAAACTCTGAATGGCAACTTTTTCCAGCCAACAGCTGGCGAAGTGTATTTCCAGTGTATTTCATCAAACCACCTTTTTTGTCACCACTATTTAACCAGTACACCTACATATTTTATAAACCTTCAATTTCAAATAAAAAATTTCCCTACAAAAATTATTTGATTATTTATTATACACTCTTATAAAGTTTATTTGAAACACACATTTCCTTTTAAAATACTTTTATTTTAACAGCCCTATTCGCGTGCAATGGCAAAACTCTCTGCAATAACTATTGTCATGCTTATAATCAATTGTCACGTTTAGGTGTACAGAGGACAATTTGAAAGCTCTAACGCTGACAAATGCTATTATTTTTGTGGTGACCTATTGAATACGTGACAACGCTAAAACACATGTTAATATTTTAAATTTTATTAATTTTGCAGAAAAAAGTTAAAAATTTGTNTTATGTTTCTTCTCTGTGCCACCGTGATCACGTTTTTCTGCTATAATAAGCAATATAAATATATTTTAACTTAACATTTTATTAAAAATACCTTTACAAACCTCTTTTACTTGCTAGCGTACATTTTTGTTTACTTTTACATTTGGCATTTCTCCTCTCTTTCGCAAAAACAATCGATAAAACTAGGATGGACACCGAAAAGTTATCCATTTCGGCGTATTTTGTTTAAAAGAAATCCAGTCTGTTGCAGTGGCAGTCAAAAAGAATAATTCAATTGTAAACAAAGAACAGATGTTTCACTACAGAGAAACTTTCGCCACAATTGGCAAATAAAACGAGCTTTACTTATGACTACAGTTGATGACACGATAATGACACTTGACGGCTGTGACATTACACGATTAGGGCTGTAAGATAAGTTAAATGTACAAATTCGCTATCCAAGTTCTCCTTCTTTAAATTTATTTGACTCTGTTTACTGGGCAATCTCAATTTGGCTTGAGGTGAAAATGTTATTCACCAATTTTGTTAGTTATTGACAATTTCCACGCTGATTCGTTGCTGTCAGCTGTCGCTTTCGCTGCTGCGTAGTTTGTGGAGCGAGCCTAGCGCGGCAGAGTTGTCAATTGTTCGAAAAGCTTTCAAGTGGTTGGTTATGTGAGTTTTCCATTGTAGCTAAAACTTTAATTATTTTGTTAAAAGAGCTAAATAAGCATTTTTTGTTGGAATTATCGAAAAAATCCCCTAGGGTGCAAAATTTGATGCAGTGCCAAGCGTATATGAATGTCCGCTTAATGACAAAGTGACTCGAAAGAGATAAGGTCTTTGGAGCCAAAAGTAAAATCGGTGCATAGTGCGAACGCTGCATGAAAAATTAAAAATCACTAGCAAATGAAAATCAGCGCTACTTGAACATCTGAGAAAATTTAATTG